AGGACAAAGCTTTGGAGTTTGCTTCTCGCCGGAACTCTCATGTGTTTCTCTCACAATGATCTGTATCCCCTGCCGTGTTAAGTCAGGCGCAGAGAAAGTCACTTTACCAACCATCAGTTTCTCTTGTTTTATTCAAATTGGTTTTCTTTTGGTGGAGACTTTGAGTGGGTTCAATTCCTAGCATCCAGCTCTGAACATTCCAGCATCTCTGAGACATCAAGGAAAACACACCACATTAAAGGACAGCTTTCATTAATGGTGGTCAAACAACCATGTTCAAGGTTATCTGGTAGTGTCTTCCTTTACAAAAGAAAAATGTTGCCACCACTTTATCCTTTAAATTATTCCATAAATATTACTTTACATATTAAAAAGTACATTTGGTATGATTTCATGAAAATATTTTAGACTTTTTCAGTGATTTGACTTTAATAGACTGTCTTCCAAAACTTTTCTATTTTGAAAATTTTTTTAAACTTCAGAATATTGAGCTCTTAATGAAAAGACAAGCCAGAAACTGGGAGAAAATAATTGTAAATCACAGACCTGATAAAGGACTTGTGTCTAGAATATGTAAAGAACCCTCAAAACTCTATAATAATAATAATAAAATAAACAACCCAATTTAAAAAGTAAGCAAAAAGATTGTAAGAGACACTTCACTAAGAAATACATAGATGGCAAATAAATACATGAAAAGATACTCAGCATCATTAAGAGGCAAATTAAAACTACAATGAATACCACTACAGACCTATTAGGATGTCTGCTAAAAAGACTGACTGGAAGACATTAAAAGACATTGAAGAAAACACAAATAAATGGAAAGATATTTTGTGCTCATGGATTTGAAGAATTAATATTGTTAAAATGTTCATACTACCCAAAGCAATCCACAGATTCAGTGGAATCCTTATCAAAATTCCAGTGGGATTTTTCACAGAAATAGAACAAACAACCTACAATTTGCATGGAATTTTGACCACAAAAGACCCCGTGTAGCCAAAGAAATCTTGAGAAAGATCAAAGCTGGAGGCATCATACTCCCTGATTTCAAACTCTATTACAAAGCTACAGTAACTAAAACAGTATGGTATTGGCATAAAAACAGACTATAGGTCAGTGGAACAGAATAGAGAGCCCAGAAATAAACCCATGCATATGTGGTCAATATATGACAAAAGAGCCAAGAATATACAATGGGGAAAGGACAGTCTCTTCAATAAATGGTGTTGGGAAAACTGGACAGCCACATGCAAAAGAATGAAACTGGACCACTATCTTACACCATACACAAAAATCAACTCAAAATGGGTTAAAGACTTGAACATAAGACCTGAAACCATAAAACTAGAAGAAAACATAAGCAGTAAGCTCCTTGACATAGGTCTTGGCGATGAATTTTTGAATCTGACACCAAAAGTAAAAGCAACAAAAGCAAAAATAAGTTGGGGCTACATCAAACAAAAAGCTTCTGAACAGCAAAGGAAACCATCAACAAAATGAAAAGGCAACCTACTGAAGGAGAAAACAATTGCAAATCATATATCTGATAAGGGGCTAATACTCAAAATATATAACGTACTCATACAATTCAATAGCAAAAAAGAAATAATCTGATTTAAAAAGGGGCAGAAGATCTGAATAGACATTTTTCCGAAGAAGACATACAGATGGTCAATAGGTACGTGAAAAGATGCTCAACATCACTAATCATCAGAGAAATGCAAATCAAAACCACAATGAGCTATCACCTCACACCTGTTAGAATGGCTGTTATCAAAAGACAAGAAATAACACGTGTTGATGAGCACGTGGAGAAAAGGGAACTCTTGTGCACTGTTGGTGGGAATGTAAATTGATGCAGCCACTATGGAAAACAGTATGGAGTTTCCTCAAAAAAATTAGAAATACTGTATGACTCAGCACTTCCACTTCTGAGTATTTATCTGAAAAAAAACAAAAATACTAACTTGAAAAGATATATGCACCCTCATGTTCATTGCAGCACTATTTATAATAGCCAAGATATGGAAACAACCTAAGTGTTCATGGATGGATGAATGAATAAAGAAGATGTGGTGTATACATACAACAGAATATTATTCAGCCATAAGAAGAATGAAATCCTGCCATTTGCGACAAAATGAATGGACCTCAAGGGTGATATGCTAAGTGAAATAAGTCAGACAGAGAAAGACAAATATGATCTCACTTTTATGTGGAATCTAAAAAAAAATGCTCATAGATACAGAAAACAGATTGGTGGTTGCCAGAGGCAGGAGATGGGTGTGAGAAATAGGTGAAGGGGGGTCAAAAGGTTAAAAAAAAAAAAAAACCAACAGGGGATAAAATACCTTCCTGGAGATTTCGGGAGGCAGGAAAACTATGAAGGGGACATAGTTCAGGAGGGAGTAGCTGGGAGAGCGAATGACAGACATATCAGAGTTTGCTCAGTGGATGGAATCTGTGAGGGTACAGAGAAAGATGTTAACTTGGGGAGTTGGGGGGGAAAGTGAGTGCTCTGATTGAGTGAAAGCTGGGAAGGGACATTTAGGGAAACAGCCCAATATCCCAATAGAAATCCAGGCCCTGGAGGAGAGTGTGTGAGTTCTTCTCTAGTCTCATCCATGGGTTCTTATGCTGAACCTTTCACCTTCCTGATCTCAAAAAAAAAAAAAGGCTGTCGGGGGCGGCCCTATGGCTGGGTAGTTAAAGCCCTGTGCGTTCCAATCCACTTGGGTGGCCCAGGTTCACAGGTTTGGATCCCAGGTGCACACCTACTCCACTCATCAGCCATGCTGTGGAAGGATCCCACATACAAAGTAGAGGAGGACTGGCACAGATATTAGCTCAGGGCTAATCTTCCTCAAGGAAAAAAATTAAAAAAGGAGGAGGATTGGCAACAGATTTTAGCTCAGGGTGAATGTTACACACACAAACAAAAAAAATGCCTATCCATACCAAGGATTGGTGAGGATGTGGAGCCACTGCAATTCTCATACACTGCTGGTGGGAACGTAAAATGATACAACCACTTTGGATAAGACTTTGGCAGTTTCTTAAAAAGTTAAACATACACCTGCCATCCTTCTATTCCTAGGTATTTACCCAAGAGAAATGAAAGCATACGTTCATACAAAGACTTGTACATGAAGATTCCTAGCAGCTTTATTTATAATAGCCAAAAACTGAAAGCAACTCAAATGTGTGTCAACAGATGAGTGGATTAACAGATTGTGGTATATCCCTACAATGAAATACTACTCAGTAATGAAAAAGGGATGAACTACTGATACACAAGCAACCTAGATGAATCTCAAAATAATTGTGCTGAGGGAAAAGAGCCAGACAAGAGTAAATACTGTTTGGTTCCATTATATAAAACTCTAGAAAATACAAACTAATCAGTAGTGACAGAAAGCAGATCTGTGTTTGCCTGGGGCTGGCATAGAGTATGGAAGTTAGGGAGGAAAGGTAGGCAAGACGAAGGGATCACCAAGAGGCAAGAGGAAGCTCTGGTGGGAGGGGCGGTGATGGATATGTTCATTATTTGATTGCTGTGATGGTTTCATAATTGCATACATATGTAAAAATTTATCAAACCGTACACTTTAAATATGTGCAGTTTATTGTATATCAGTTATACTCTTAAAGTGGTTAAAATTTACACTCTTTAATGGGGACTTAAAATTTTGGATTCCTTTTCACTGTAATCCAAAAAGCTGATTTACAAAGCTATTCTTTTATCTCTAAAATAAATATCCTTTAAGAAATCTTTTGCTCTTCTTTCTTTAATCTGAGGTTAGCAAATAAAAAAATTCAATCTGAGGACTTAAAAGAGTTATTACTTTGAACTTGAAAGCCATTAAAGAAATTTAAAATGTGCCATGAAGTCTATAATGAAAAACAGAAGTGAGAAGGAATTCCTTGTTGCTTCAGTAAAGTGTCATGAGGGATGTGACGCTAAGAGTGGAACTCCACCCTCCAGGATGCAGTGAGGAGGTGCAAAGCAATAGAATGGAAAAAGCCCTATGCTAATGGATGACAAAGATGGATTTTAGTCTTTTCCACTTCTAGATATATCCTTTCAAAAATCTCTTAAATTCTCTTCGCCTTGGTTCTGTCTGTTAAATTGAGGTAATAATGTCTGTACTCCCTACCTTAAATAATGTATGTGGTCAGAGGAGTAGGACCACTGACTTGATACTGTCCCCATTAGTTTATTTATATAAGAGAGAAAGAACAAAAAAAGTTGCTATTTCTGCAGCAAATTTGTTTTCCTATTGCTTCCTCCAGGCTGTTTCACTACAGACGTGTAAGTATATTTAAAACATTAGAAGATTGATGGCCATTCTTAACATTGTTATTTAATGGGAACATTTCTGTTGTTTTCTTCTGTAATTGCTTTGAAAATTAAGGTAACTGCTAAGAGCACTTGTGAATACCCTTTCCTGATAATCAATCCTGGATGTCACTTTTAGAAATACAGTTTTTAATTTTTAATGGGTTTTTTTGCAAATAAAAATTGAACCATAGGTGAGAACAAGAAGTACATTTAGCTGAACTTTTTCTTTAACTCACAGTCATTTATGCAAGTGGGAATATTTATCAAACCTGAAATGCACCATCAAGCACATGAGTGCTTTCCTTCAGGTAGAATCATATATGTCTATACATTGGTTATATAGGGAAAGAAGGTAGTGAAGATTTGTGGCATTATAATAAGTACTTATGTTCACTAACAGATGTTTAATTACTTGCAAAGCTGTTTCATAGTATTAGACTGGAGAAAAGCTGAAACATCATTATAATCTGTCCATCTGTTCTCAGTGCAGTCTAGCTAGGATCTGGTCATAGCATCTCTTGACTCACCTATGGTACAATTCAGTTTAAGAGAATATTGGAATAAATTATAGCTGGTTGTTCTCATTTGTTCTTAGCATCCATGCTTTCATGGCAGTTTCCAGGTTAGTATTTTTAATGATGTTTCTCCATAGATTGCAAAATTGGGAAATCTTTTAGAGTCAAAAGAAGACCACTGCAACAGACTCATTGAAGAGAATGACAAGTATCAAAGACATGTAGGCAACTTACTAAATAAGGTACAGATTTTCTTACAGAAATATTTATCTTTTAAAAACTATGCCAAATATTAAAGTAACAGAATTTTGGAGCTAAAGAGGATCTGAGAGATGATATCACACAATTGTATCAATTCTTTTTACTTCATAATGACATTATAAAATGCCCCCATTTGCCTTTTAGCTGAAAGCTAGCAAAGAACATAATATCTGTCTTTCCTTCTGCTGTCATCAGTTTCAGGTCTTAGTATTGCTACTTCAGTTTGGAGGTAATTATAAATCTTGCCCACTTAGTGTTCTAGTTTACTTTTTAAAAACTGTGTTAACTTTAACCAAATGCACTGTAACTTTAATCAATACATACACTGCTTGTGTGGAAGACAACTGGATCATAGTTGACTCTTTACAATTGTGCATTTTTTGACGCTTCACTTTTTCTGCATGATGAGTAGACACATTATCATTCTATTTCTATTCGTATCTCTGATTTCAAAATATAAGAAAAATGTTTTGTTTATTGTAAAACTTTCATTGATGGAAGTCATGTCATTGAACTTCAATTTGTAGAGATTTTTAAAAATCAAAAAATAAACAAAATTAGATAAAAATTCCAGAATTTATCAGAGGATAATTTTTTAGCTTATTTTTTTCCAGGTTATATCATATGAAGAAATTATCGAATGTGCTGACCAAAGGCTCGAGATATCCCACTCCCAGATTGCACAGTAAGTTGAAAAACATTAAATTAACTTTTAATTTTGTAAACATTTACTGATATTTTATGTGACCCTCTAAATTACGAAGTTCATATTCTTAGATTTCAAGAAAAAGGAAAAATGTGCAGTTTTATAAATTCAGACCATTCTTTAATAATATAACTAGTCTATTTAATGTCTGGACTTCTTGGTCAGAGTCGAATCACAAGATGTTCATCTTCCTTCCTCAGAGCTCCCTTGATTCCCAGGGCTGGTGAAGGATTAGTGAGAAACATCCGACATTTTTAGAGGATACTATCATGGTATCCAAGTAAAACAACTTTGCAGTGCTTAGAATTTATTCACAGAAAGTTTTGGAATGCACACAAAAGGAAACATATCCATATATATGTTAAATATCAAGTAACCTTTCTCATTAGAACAAGATTCAGCTTGAAACACTCCGAAATTAGTGTTTTTAAATTCAGCAAAGTTTTTCCACTGATTTATTATCCTCCTTTCTCATATGCTTCTTCCTCCTTCCTTCCCCAATTTCATTTATACTGTCCTGGCTATCCTAGAGCTTAAGCAAAAGGTCCAATCTGACCTAGAAAGCACCCCCCAGCACAGGAACTTTCTATGGCACTAACTCACCACAAGATGTGAAACACAGTGTGGGTATTTGTACCTTGGGAAGTTTGCCTCTGTATTTCACTATTGTTTCTAAGCAGAATGAATGGTAAAACAATTTTCCCATTTTTCAGACTGATGCAGACAAGTTTTAAATTTGGAGGGGGAAGTGATGTTACACACTCAAGAGAAGTAAAATTAGACTCCTCCCTAGCTTATAACCAAGAAACTCAACCAATGCACAGTCCTCATGGGCTCATGAAATATCAAAATAAAGAATAACCTAATATTTTAAAAACAATATCAAACCATGAATCTAGCCAGATTGCTTTGCCCCAGTTATTTTTTTTTTAAGATTGACACCCGCGCTAACATCTGTTGCCAATCTTCTTTTTTCTTTTTTTTCCTTCTTCTCCCCAAAGCTCCCCAGTACACAGTTGTATATTATAGCTGTAGGTCCTTCTGGTTGAGCTGTGTGGGATGCTGACTCAGCGTGGCCTGACGAGTGGTACTGTGTCCGAGCCCAGGATCTGATCCGGAGAAACCCTGGGCTGCCGAAGAGGAGCACACAAACTTAGCCACTCGGCCATGGGGCCAGCTGCAGCCCCAGTTATTTTTAAAACTTATATTTCAGTTGAGTGGTGGATCCAGCTTGTGTTCAAAAAGAGACCTGGAATCTGAGTTTTATTAACTTTATTAAAAAGATTGTCAATTGTGGCTGCTTATTAGGATTCCCTTGAATGCTTTTTAAAAAATATCCAATGCCCAGGCCTTACTCCCAGATCAAATCAGCTAAAATACCAGGTGGGATCTGGGCATCAGTATATTTCAAAAGCTGCCCAGGTGATTCTAATGTCTGGATAGGTCGAGAACCACTGCCAGATATTGCGTAAGTTGATTTCGTTAAGTGATGAGCGTTGTCATTGATTTTTTTAAATCAAATATAGTCTATTATATCCATGAAGAACAGTATTTTTGTTTATAGTGAATTAGCTTTGATCTCATTAAAAGGTATGTGCTGCTTTAAAGTTACCAAATACACGTCATCAGAGCAATGTTTCTTTAAATTGGTGCTCGTCTATTCTGTTAAAAGTTAGCAGTGTTTGAAGTATCTTTCTTCGATTACATTCACAGGCTATACTGTAAATTTTCAATTCACATGCCTTGGAGTTTAGAAACAGCTGCTTACTTACAACAGCCGTTCATGATATTTGATTTTTCTAGAAGACTAAAAGAAGGAGCTTGGTGCAGTCCATTTTGTACATGTAACCAGAGTGCTCTTTCTGAAATATAAATTTGATCATGCCCCTTAAAACACGTTAGTGATTTTCCAGGACTTTTAGGTAAAAGCAAAAATCCTTAGCATGGTCTACAAGTTTCTTCATGATACAGCTCCTGCCTGCCTCTCCAATCTCATGTCACCATTCTCTGCCTTGCTTTCAGCCACACTGGAGATGTTATAGTTTCTCAAATGCATCACATTCTTTTGCCGCGTGGCTTTCGCATATATTGTTCCACCTGGAATGTTCAGACTACCCTAACCCATTATCGCCTACTGTCCTTCAAATCTCCACTCAAATGCCCTTTCCTTACAGGTACACTCACTGTCTTCCCAGTCTGAATCAGGCAGCTTTTCACAACGCTACAAAGATTCAGGTGGTCTTGCATCTCTTTCTCCCAAATACTGCTTCCTCTGTAACACCTGTGGCTAGGTCAGTTTCAGGTGTGGGAGTCCTGCTCCATACATTCCTGGCTCTGGAACACTTTCCTATGAAATGTCAGACTTGTTCTCTCTACCTCACTTCCTATCACGTCTATGACAGCATCTTGGTGAGAAGTGGATCCTCTCACAAAAATGTTCCTGTTCTACCTACAGATGGTCAACAGGCGCATGAAAAGGTGCGCAACATCATTAATCATTAGAGAAATGCAAATCAAAACCATAATAAGATACCACCTGACACCTCTTAGAATAGGCGTTATCAAAAAGACAAGAGGGGCCCGCCAGGTGGCACAGCCGTTAAGTTCGAATGTTCTGCTTTGGTGGCCCGGGGTTTGCCGGTTCAAATCCTGGGTGTGGACACGGCACTGCTTGGCAAGCCATGCTGTGGTAAACGTCCCACATATAAAGTAGAGGAAGATGAGCACAGATGTTAGCTCAGGACCAGTCTTCCTCAGCAAAAAGAGGAGGATTGGCAGCAGATGTTAGCTCAGGGCTAATCCTCCTCAAAAAAAAAAAAAAAGATAAATAAATCCATTGGTGTTGCCAGTTTTCTTTAGCAATACACTATTTAGCACTATCTTTTGGCCCTACAAGATATCCATATCCTAATCCTTGAAACCTGCAAATGCTACCTTATATGGCAAAAAAAAAAGGTCCTTTATGTTAAATAATAATCTATTATTCTATTAATGTAATATAATATTATTGTATTAATTATATTACTGTAAGCCAACATATTAAAAATTAAAAAGGAAAAACCATATGATCATCTCAATAACAGAAAAAACATGTGACAAAATCCAACATTCATTCATTTAGAGAACACTATTCATTTAGGGCTAAAAACTCTAAACAAACTAGGAATAGAAGGGAACTTACTCAATATGATAAAGAGCATCTATAGAAAAAATACTGCTAAAATCATACTTAATGATGAAAGACTGAATACTTTTTCAAGATCAGGAACAAGATTTCTATTCACACTGTACTGGAAGTTCTGCTCAGTTCAGTCAGAAAGAAAGAAAAGCCATCCACATTGGAAATGAACAAGCAAAATGAACAAGCAAAAGTGAATTTATTCCTTAGATGATATGATCATCTGTGTAGAAATCTGATGAAATCTACAAAAAAGCTCTTGGACTGTTAAGTAAAATTAGCAAAGTTGTAGGATCCAAGATCAATATACAAAAATCGATACTATTTCTATATACCAGCAATGAACAATCAGAAATTTAAATTAGGGGCCAGCCCAGTGGTGCTGTGGTTAAGTGTGCACCTTCCGCTTCAGTGACCTGGGGTTTGCCAGTTCGGATCCCAGGTGTGGACATGGCACCACTTGGCAAGCCATGCTGTGGTAGGCATCCCACATAGAAAGTAGAGGAAGATGGGCATGGATGTTAGCTCAGAGCCAGTCTTCCTCAGCAAAAGGAGGAGGATTGGCAGCAGTTAGCTCAGGGCTAAACTTCCTCAAAAAAAACAAAAATTTTAATTGAAAAAATAAAAACATTTCAATAGTACCAAAAATATGAACTACATAGGGATAAATTTGACAGGAAATGTGGAGGACCTATACACTGAAAAGTATGAAACATTGCTGAGAGAGAATTAAGAAGACTTAAATAAATGGAGAGATAGACCTTTTTCATGGCTATTTTTTTTTGTTTGAGGGAGATTAGCCCTGAGCTAACTGCTGCCAATCCTCCTCCTTTTGCTGAGGAAGACTGGCTCTGAGCTAACGTCCATGCCCATCTTCCTCTACTTTCTATGTGGGACGCCTACCACAGCATGGCTTGCCAAGCGGTGCCATGTCCACACCTGGGATCCGAACCGGCAAACCCCAGGCCACCAAAGGGGAATGTGAGCACTTAACTGCTGTGCCACCGGGCACGCCCCTTTCATGGCTCTTAAGACTCAATATTGTTAAGACTTCATTTCTCCCCATGGTGATCTTTAGGTTCAATGAAATCCCAATCAGAATCCCAGCAGGCTTTTGAAATAGAAATCGACAAGCTGATTCTAAACTTCATATGGAAATTCAAAGGACATAGAATAGTCAAAAGAACTCCAAGAAAGTGGACAAAATTGGAGGGCAAATCTGATTTTTAAGACTTTTTATAAAGCTACAATAATCAAAACAGTGTGGCAGTGATGTAAAAATAGAAAAAAAGATCAACAGAACAGAATAGAGACTCTTGATATAGACCCACATATATTTGGACGACTGATTTTTGACAAAGGTACAAAGGTAATGAAGTACAAAAAGGATGGTGCCGAAATAATTGGATATCCATTTGTTAAAAAAAAACAAAACACTGATTTATACGTTGTACCACATACAAAAGTAACTCAAAATGGATAATAGACCTACGTGTAAAGCTAACACTATAAAACTTCTAGAAGAGAACATAGGGGAAAATTTCTGTAAACTTAGGTTAGGCAATGATTCAGATATGATTAATGAACATGATCCATAAGAGAAAATTTTGATAATTGGACTTCCTCAAAATTAAAAACTTCATAGAAAAAACAATCCCAACTTTATATGGAACCACAAAAGACCCTGAATAGCCAAAGAAATCCTGAGAAAGAAGAACAAAGTGGGAATCATCACACTTCCTGATTTCAAGCTATATTATAAAGTTCTAGTAATCAAAACAGTATGGTATTGCCATAAAAA